CCGGGTTTATATCAAAGTAACGTTATTATAGTACATGTGTATACCCGGGCTTATATCAAAGTACCGTTATAGTACATGTGTATCTCCCGGGCTTATATCAAAGTACCGTTATAGTACATGAGTATACCCCGGGCTTATATCAAAGTACCGCTATAGTACATGTGTATACCCCGGATATCAACGTACCGTTATCACTCACGTGTATACCCCGGATTCTGTTATTCTTCACGATTACTTTCTGTTGGTTTAAAAAAGTTAGGCAAAGATGCCGAACTCTATAACACTATGTAGGCTATAACGGTATATTTTTGAACGCATACTTTGGCTCCGCGGCGAGGTGATAGGATGACAAGTGGATTTTGCAGGAGGGGTGATTTCTAAGCAACAACGTTTTGGATGGTTGTTTTACAGTTTAATATTACACTTTCATAAAAATGTTATGTAAAAAATAGAAAAAAAATACCCTTCGAGATAAATGTTCAATCCCTGTTAGAATAAATATATCCGCGTATATCTATGAGATGCGAACATCAAAACGATCAACGAGGGTAAAGTGTCACGTGATATGTAATATCGAACATTCGTGGTTTTCATATTTAGTGGCCACTATTCGCCACACCTTCTAATAATCCGTGACCAATCATGTAATGATCGAGATTAATTGATATCACATAATACAGCTTTTACTCTTCGAGTATTAGAATATAATAAATATGGCCGCGCGCATCGTACACGATTTCGAACATCAAAACGCTCAATGGGGTGAATGGGTCACGTGACGTTATACGTTATGCCGATTCGTGATTCAAATCTTGTGGCCGACATTTGCGTCCATGCAACGAAATGATTTTTTAATAAAATTATTTGTTATATGATGTCAATTTGCGTTTACATTGATAAATCCAAAACACTAATGGACTAAAGGGTGACGTTTGCGACCGCCGAGTTTGGTCACTTTCACCCCAGCTTCAAGTTGTTATCGACTCAGCAGATGTAATACATGCCCCTGTGGCCCGTGTTATTAATTGTTCGTTGAATAAAAAACAAAATGAGGAATTTCCCTGATCCATTTACAATCGCCAACATATTTCTAGTTTTCGAAAAAAGCACGCTAGATTAAGGGCATTATTATTAACTTATTCTTGATAATAATAATGATACTATTTATTGTGTCAATGTATCTTTTGAAATAGAGTTGATTGATTTATTGATTGATTGACGTTCCAAAAATTTTGGAACGATTCTGATGTGATAGCATTCATTTTGCTTGGGCATTTTTTTTCTGTTATGGGGTGCAGATATATCTCAATATCTCATAATTTTGTTTTGTGATAACGTAGTTTTTGAGGTCTGGCATTATTTTTAGTGTTTTTTTACCGACAAAATGTGTTACACAGAAAAGTGTAATTTTGTGTATACTAAAAAAAAAACATCCTGACAGTAACAAATAAGAATGCACTTACTGTAAGTACTTGTACACACAATATTTCCAGTGAAATATTCGCAAAAATATGAGCATATGTCCAAAATGCACGCCAGCATTCTACTTCCTGGGAAGAAATTTGAAACTAAAAGGTTCCCCGAAATAAACGACTTGTGGTTGGCTAAAAGTACCGATATAATCAGAGTAAGGTAATACCAAACTAACACACTCGTACGTACACCACAATGCATTGCGCGGTCACCTGACTTTCAGCTGAGAGGAGTGTTATTGTAACCACACCGCCCGAAACGAGTATGGAAACATTTTCAGCGTAAATTACACATAATTTAAGGTGAGAACAATTTTCTCAAAAGTGTCACTGACAGGAAGCCGTTTCTTTTTACTACTTCTGCTGTGTTCTCGGCACATGGTATACAAACCAGAGTTTTGGTAGCTAATTCCATTGCAGACGACGAGACAGTGGGCTGTGACCGTGGGGTTGGCACGACCACATTCCTCTAACAAGTGCAAGTGTAGACCTCAGCAGCCTGAGAAGCTGGAGACACCAGACCTGTGATACTCCTGACACAATTATGTATGACTAGCAGATTTTTGTACCCTGGACTATCATATTCTTTCTATCTAATCTGTCCAATATATGCACTCAATTCGAATGAATATTTATCATATACATGTACATGTTTACACCGATAAAACAGTTTACATTTATAGTCTTCTCACACCAGCTTTGCCATGACCTGATATGAATTGTTTTAACTACTTTGCATATTTAATTTCTGTTGAGAACATTTTCATAAACCATGAAATCAGGTCTGCATAAATGCCCATCTATGGTGGTCTCACATATTTGGAAATCTCTTCACATAATAATTGTAATCAAGCCTAGGATTGTGACTACAAAGTTCCATGTTTTGTATTGTAGATAAATAGATGAAGATGTCCGTGAAGTTTCTCGTATTGGTGGCGATAGCCTCTTCTTCTCAGCTTTTCACTGTTGCTAAGAATGCTGATGAAATTACATATTTACCTGGATTGTTGAAACAGCCAAGTTTTCTTCATTTCTCTGGTTATCTTCAAGCAACAGGAACCAAGATGTTACATTACTGGTAAAGTTTCTTCAACTTAAAGTTTCACTCCCACATTGTATGATCTGTGAAAAAACATCTCAGTGACTGTTCATGAAAAATCTTATCCAACTGAATCCTAAATTCCAATTTACTTAAAGGCACTTCTAAAACAAAGTGGTATTTAGTGATTACAACTATAAAACTTTGATTATGTGATTAAACACCATATCTATCAATGCACAGTGTTCTCCCCAGGATATAAAAGCATGGCAGTGCCGCCATCCTGATTTGAGAGACTGCCATGCTTTTCTGAAACTGCCACCATCACAAAAAAAAATCAAAGTGAATGCACTTGTATAAAGCACTCTGTCATGTGCCTCACCGATCACGACCACTATAAGATAAGACAACGTTCAAAATAAAACTTTTGACTAATAATTGAAACATCAATGAAAATCATTGCAGGCTCTACCTGCAAGGACAAAAACTTGATATCAAAAAGTTCAACCTCATACCTGATTTCTGTGATGGCTTTTTAGCCTAATCTGTTCACAATCTGTAGGCTATGTGGCATTGTGGGCATTCTAGACATAATGCTATCCAGTGACAACTGAAATACTGTATTCTGGGTATCTCTGTATTGATTAAGGCATGGAAGGTACTAACGGAAGGAGCCACGACGCTATTGTTTTAGCTTTACCCCATGATCGTTTGTCAATGTTTGTTCACAAACATTGTTCTTGTTAGCTTTTAGCACCTTCGTACAATGGGTTACGCTAATCTCGAGCATTCAGTAATATTCGGAGCATGTTCGGAAGCAATAGTCGAACCTCGCATGTAGAATGTTGAAAATAACGTCTAGTTTGAATGCTATTGTTTCCGGAGATCTTGGAAATTTGTCAGATATAACATTGATTGAAGAAGAACTGATGAAATATCGTGAATTTTTAATTTTTGACCACCGAACATCGGCTAACACCAACAGAAAAATAGTATCCAAAGAAGACCATGCCTAGACACTTTCTCTGTGATAATATTTTGTAGGAGTCCTTAGGAATAGTTGTTGTATGCACTCGGATTCTTGTTATAGTTACAGTCGCTAATAATTAAAACATGTGAAATTTGTGAAGTCAAACGTTCTTATGTTGAATTTCTGGTCGTGAAATACGTATTTTGACCCTTCACACCTAAACAAACCGAGTGCGCATACGTGATGACCGTAGTTTCATAATGCGCATATATTTTATGGTCACATTAAAAATCGACGAGGTTATATCATACTCCGCTAACTCGTTACTTGTGTAAACAATCGCAAACTATCATCGACATCAAAGATGAGCCAGACAATGTCCTTATCAGGATTTATTTGGGTTGAAACAAAAGGAAATAAACCAGTTAAGAGGCTTAAATGGCCACTTGATAGGCATCGTGGCTCCTTCCGTTACTACCTTCTATCTATCTATACATGGCTGTTTACTAGTGGTGCAATGTATACTTGCCCCGGAGAGTGCATTAAAATAATACATAGGAATGTCCTAATATTCACAACAGCCGTAGCCTAATAATACTTATGTGAAAAATATTTGTTATGATTTATTGATTTCCTTGCTTACTGATTTAAAGCCATGACTCGCATTTTCATTCAAAATTATTTTTTGTCCATCGTAACAATAAAACAAAGTAATATAGGCAGCTGGTTGAACAAATGTACAAATAATATGAATAAATTATATGCCAATTATTATGCAAATTAGCCACCACCCACTAAATATCGATTAATTGATAAAAATTTGTTGTTAATTTCTTGTACACTGTTTAGTCAGAATTCAACTTCAAACTCTAAAATCACCATCAATTTTATTGGATTGGATAACTTTTAATTAGAGGAAAACATTTCTAAAAACATTTACTGTAATAAATGGAACATACACAAATGATCACATAAATATGGACAGGTCTACAGGGATGAATAATGACTCTATGTGATATATTTGTTGTAGGTTTGTGGAATCACAAAACAAGCCAGGGACTGACCCGCTAATACTTTGGTTGAATGGTGGTCCTGGTTGTAGTTCATTAGATGGTCTGCTTAGTGAGCATGGTCCATATCTTGTCCAGGCTGATGGTGTAACATTGAAATACAATGAATATAGTTGGAATATGGTAAGTTTTTATGAAGATACTTCAAAGAAGAGTTGTATTATTGTAATATGTTACCACCCATTGCTGACAGTGATCCCGGAATGGAAGAATTATACATCCATGACCCTCATAACTTTAATTTGACTTTTAAGTGGATCATTTTATGGTACAAAAGTGCACTGTATTGGAATACAAAGACATGTACAACAAATATGATCTGATATAAATGACTAACTGGTGACAGTTTTGTTTTTGGAAAGTCAACAGAATAGATCTATTCGTATTACTGATTACCTTAACGGCCAAAAGGTCGTCAGTCAACATTTCAACACCTTCTTTAAAACTGCTGGTCATATTTCATTTATATCAAGATTGTACATGCCATATTTGATTTTTGAGACGAGTCAAAGTGACTATCGCAAAATTTTGTTCAGTCAATGAAGTCAAATTATCATATCACACGAATGGATTACTATAAAACTATTCCCGGCCCCAATTGAAGATTTCTTGTTTTTCTTTTTTATAGAGAGCCAATGTTCTTTATCTAGAATCACCAGCTGGTGTGGGATACTCTTATTCTGATGACGGCAATTACACCACTGATGATGACCAGGTAAGTCATGTGATTGTCACATGATTATACATGTGTTTTCAGAAGCAAGTTGCAATGTCTGGAGAGGTATAGATTCAAAATCACCACAATGATATTTCACATGCTATCAAAACTGTGTTTTTTTTGTACTTACTACAAAAGTTTGCTTTTGAACCCCCATGCAGTCTCATTAATGTGGTAAATGTCAAACGTATGGGTTCATTTCCAAAAACATTCTTTGTGAATTGCTGCAAATGTCAAAATATCAAATTACTATCAAGGCACAATGCATGCAATATGAATACAATTACCAAGTAAGGTAAACAGAATGGGGAGGGTGTCTGTGTGTGCATCTATGGTCTCAAAAATACTTTGACTTTGACTTTATATAAAGAAACATACTAGTATTCATTCATATGCATTTCTATTTGTATCTGAAGTTATGACATTACAACTGACCGCCTCTTGAAACACAACTTCTGGCACATTCCAGTACATATTTGAATCTAACTTGCATTTACATGGTTACTAATGCTTGTTATGTTATTCAAAATGATTATTAAATTGGTGGCCCTTTACATGGTAAAGATACACCTAAATTGATAATTTCTGGCATTCCAGAACTGGATCTTAGGTCAACATGGGTGGATTTTGTTGATTTTTTTTGTGTGCAACTAGATTGTGGTCTAAGATAAGAAGAATTCAAGTTCTGCACTATGTGTCCATTTGAAGAAGTGATGCACATTATAATTCCAAAATATATCTTTGTATTCATCCATGTGACCCAATATAAACATTATGTGCAGCTGATTGTGTTTGTCATGTTTGCGCAGGTTGCTGATGACAACTACGCAGCTTTGAAAAGCTTCTTCAAGAAATACCCATCTTATGCTGAAAATCCGCTATTTATTTTTGGTGAAAGTTATGGAGGTGTTTATGTACCAACACTTGCAGTTAAAGTCATGGATGACACTGCTATGAAATTACAGGTATAATTCTACTGTGTTTGATTACTTGAACTGATGATCTACTAGTTTACTAATGCTAGGAGATATAAACTATGGAGATGCGCTACTGACAAAATTTGTTAGAATTTTGTAACTTTTATTAGCCCTTTTATTAGTTCATATAGGTGATTATTCGTTGTCTTAAAAACAACTGAGCTAATTGATTCAAAATGGCCAACATTTTTGTTTTAATGAATGCTGTTCCACATAGATGTATGTCTCTGATGATGTACATTGACTGAGATCACATTCAAACTTCATACATACATGATGCCACCACACCTTGAATTTAGGATGACTGATTGTTGACCATTTGAATGTTAAAATACCTTCTGCCAATCTTGACTTGGATCTCAGTCATGCATGGACAGATGCATGTATCATTCAACCTTGGTACATACAGTAAATTGGACCTTGATGACACCTTTTTGTTTTCAGATTGGATTTAAAAGGCCAACTGACTTGCATGTTGTTTTAGCAAATGTCATTCAAAAGCCATATCTTGGGAAAATCTTGACTGATTGCAGTAAAACTTTCCATCTATGTTATATGCATCATGTCACACAGAACATGAATTGGCATTCTGATTGACTCATTTCATGACTAGTTTTTGTCATTTTGGTATGTCTACTTTTGTATTTACAGTCTAGTTCGTTCAGCCTTAGGTCACTTATTTTGATTTGTTTACAGGGTTTTGCCGTTGGTAATGGTCTCACTAGCTATGAAGACTTATCCAATGCACTTGTGTATTTTGCATATTATCATGGATTATTTGGCACCAGGTATCTAGAAGTTTATTTAATATCAGAATTGTAAACTCTGTTTTACCATAATTGTTCATACAAGTGGGTTCACTTCCAACCCATGGGTTCATTTCCATTTATGTGCAAGTGGGTTTCATTTCTAGCCACAGGTTCATTTAAGTTCAAGTGGGTTAGTTTCTTGCCCATGGGTTCATTTATGTGCAAGTGGGTTCATTTGCAGCCACAGGTTCTTTTAGGTTCAAGTGGGTTAGTTTCTCGCCCATGGATTCATTTATGTGCAAGTGGGTTCATTTG